AGCTGTAACTTATGACGTCATGTGACAAATGTATAATAATAAGTATTACTGTTAGTTTCTTGTTGTTTGGCCAACAGATGAATGTCATCTCAAAACGAAATGTATTTGTTTACAAATAACAACAATCACGTTCAATAAAACTTACGATTGTCCATTTCCAAATAATTTGTACGCACAGTGTCGTCGTTTTCTGTTATACTTGTAAACTCAAGGTACCATTTGTAGCTGTCAAAATAAAAAAATACTTCCGTCATTACTGCATTATGAATGGTGGCAATCATATTAATCCCAAGGTACTGATGTTGGGATTATGCAAGATATAACTTTTCAGTTATATCATGTTCGTCGATGTACGTCATCATATTTGCCATCTTGTTCATTCTAGTTGCTAGCTATATGAAATAAAATTGTTCCATCTGCCCATTAATGGTCATACATGAACATATTAACCAGTCCAATAATATGATAATGCATACCAGCGCCTTCCTGTGAGACACTCCCTACTCTTACCAAATATGGACATGTACATCACTCTTTTATGTAAGACACTCTTACAACTATAAATAGGCATGCATGCAGACCTTTCTGTCAAGTATTCTTAAAACCAGCTTTACTTTGTAATGAACATGTTCTATTTATACCAAATATGGAAGTATTATTACCTGTAAGAACTTGTCAAATAATCAAAAGAAACGTCATCTGGTTTGATAAGGAACAGTGATTGGTCAAGTTGTATTCCTCGTGACCCAGAAGCTGAAGTACTTTTTATAACATCAACCACTGGATATCCTTGCTGTAGAATCCACGAGTCCATCAATTCTTTTACTTGTATACTTCCGCCAGTTGCCTAGAGTAATAATATTAAACATTTCGTTTGATGCAAATGCCAATAATATTATGAATAAGATTGAATATTGATAATTGCTATGAATTCAGCATCTGCTGCGATTGAGATTCCATTTGTAATGTGCATGCCCAGTAGAACAGTCTTGGTCAGGCCCATTGGAAGAATGATCCAGTCTGTCACATTGTAAGAATGGTACACTGTCTTATTTTCAGAATGAGACAAGTGTGTCACAATTGCAGAACAAGGCAATCTGCCCCATTATCAGAACGAAGCAATCTGTGTAATTGTCAAAAAGCTGCAGTCTTTCCTATTGTCAGAACAAAACAGTCTTCCTCGTTGTCTTGTCATGACTACCAGTATATCTCATTATCAGAACGAAGCATTTGTGTATTTGTCAGAACAATGAAGTCTGTGTAATTGTCAGAATGCTGCAACCAGTCTTCAGAACAAGGAAGTCTTCCTCATTGTGAGGAGTACCAGTATGTTCCATTATCAGAAAGAAGCATTCTATGTAATTGTCAGAACAACGCAGTCCGTCTTGATATCAGAACAGGAAGACTTTCTCATTGTCAGGATAGGCAGTATGTCCCATTATCAGAACGATGCAGTTGCGTAATTGTCAAAACGATGCAGTCTGTCTTAATGCCAGAACAAGGTAGTCGTCCTCATTGTTAGAACTGGCAGTATGTCTCATTATCAGAACAAAGCATTCTATGTAATTGTCAGAACGATGCAGTCTGTCTTGGTGTCAACACAGGACATACTTCCTCATTGTCAGAACAGGCAGTATGTCCCATTATCAGAACGATGCAGTTTGCGTAATTGTCAAAACGATGCAGTCTGTCTTAATGCCAGAACAAGGTAGTCGTCCTCATTGTTAGAACTGGCAGTATGTCTCATTATCAGAACGATGCAGTTTGCGTAATTGTCAAAACGATGCAGTCTGTCTTAATGCCAGAACAAGGTAGTCGTCCTCATTGTTAGAACTGGCAGTATGTCTCATTATCAGAACGAAGCATTCTATGTAATTGTCAGAACGATGCAGTCTGTCTTGGTGTCAACACAAGACATACTTTCTCATTGTCAGAACAGGCAGTATGTCCCATTATCAGAATGAAGCATTTTGCGTAATTGTCAAAATGATGCAGTCTGTCTTAATGTCAGAACAGGAAGACTTTCTCATTGTCAGGACAAGCAGGATGTTCCAATATCAGAACGAAGCGTTCTGCGTAATTTCCATTAATTTCCTTAATGTCAGAGCTAGGCAGTCTGCTTCATTGTCAAAGTTGACAGTATGTTTCACTGTTTCGGAAAGAGATAGTCAGTAACATTAATGACGTCACTCACCCTTGTAAACTCTTCCCATAAGTCATCAGCATTGGCACTGCTAAATTCATAATCATCTAGGTATGACTGCAATTTAAAATAAAATCCAGTTTAGACCAGTTTGCATTGAATGGATACTAACCATTGCATTAGAAATACATAGAAAAATAATGTTTCCTTAAATGAGGTCTTTTAAGGTTTTTTCCTATTCAGCACAATTCAAGCATTGATTTGATTCGTTACGATCGTATCATGAAATGTACATACATGCAGTCATGTGACCTAAAATGGCGAACTGTCAATTAACTAATAATAGTGAGGACTGTTTGGGCTACCATGGTATTCACAACAAATCACTGGATTCAGAATTAGAAACAGAATTAGCTTTGAAAATATCCTCACGGTCTGTGCAGTTTGTTTACATCTGTTTCACCACAGTTCCTTGGCGTGTTAAAGAACGTTTTGTGCGTTTTGTGGTGACGTCAATTCTATTTTTAGTAATATCTATTAATTGAGATCAACGTAGTCTGTGACATTTTATTTAACTGTTTTTTTAGTTCTCATGGCAACAGGTACTTTTACAGTTGAAGTATATAAGTATGCGCCAGATTTGTGATCCCCGTATTCGTGGTCAAAAAGTTTTCCATTCTCGGTATTTTGCAGAATCGTTCATTATTCTATATTTAGCAAGGTTTTTTCTGTCATATTAATCCATGATTTTCTATTCTCATATCTCGCGATATTTAGCAAGTGTTTTGTCTCGTATCTCGCGACATTTAACAGAATATTTTATTTTTGTATATCGCGATATTTAGCAAGGTTTTTCAAACTCATCTCTCGTGATTAGAAATGTTCATTGTCGTATGTTGTACTGCAAATATTTGCCTAACTTTTTTCCAGAGATGAGATCTTGAACACTTACCCTAATTCCGTTATTGAAAGCGGTGTCACCGACCATCTGTTTAAGCATGCGTACCACAGATATACCCTTATAATAAGTAATGGCGTCGTAATTGGTCATGATAACGTCCATGTCTTCG